TACCCCTATTCCATGTTTCAAGGTATGCCAAAAGAATTGTACATGTACAAGATAGGGGGAATTTGATTCCGATATGCAAAAATTCAAATTTACACATCACCAATCTTGCTATTTTAAGAAGATGGACATATCATTCTACCAGAAAACAAAACCAGATTGCAAAAATGAGGGTGTTAGGATCTCATCTAGATATCAAAAGAAAATTGATTGTTTCAATGTAGGTGGATATTGTGATCACTGCAAAACAGTGTTTGAAGCTATGGAATGCTTTTACCACTACTGTCTCTGTCAGGAAACTCGACTCTCATTAAGTGATAGGGACCTTGAAAGGGGAAACAAAAGGCAAGAAATGGATGATTTGAGACAGGATTATATTCGCGAAAAAAGAGATGTGGGAACTTGAGGGGTGGCAAAATTTCAAAACTAACGAAAAAATTAAAAGTTCTATCCAATCCAACTATCCCTACAAAGTACCTTTTTCCACTGAGCCTTTTTTGGACAAAAACAGGAGATGAATCTCTTTACTACGGATATGTTCAGTTTGGCTTAGTGGTTCCAGAAAAACTGAAAGCAAAAACTGCTAATTTTCCTCAAACTTTCAAAAACACTATAGTTGGAATAAATGACATCAAGGAAAATAAGCAAAATTTTGCAAATGACTTTTATCTTCATGAATATTCCCAGAGAAGGCTAATATCTAGCGTTAAACTAGAAAATGATTCAATTTCTATATGCAACTTGGCTTACAGTGTACAAAAGCTTACCGCTTTGTACAGTATTCTGCTCAAAAATGCTTCAACAAATTTGATCAGTCAGTTTTTGATGCTAGAAGGGAAGGATGCGAGAACCTTCTATCCGGAGTTGTTGCAGAGACTTTGAAGTTTTTAGGTAATTCAATCTACGGCTAGCAAATTATGAATAGATCGAGACAGGATCATAAAATATACAAATGACGAGAAAACACACAAAGCAATTAATAAACCACTCTTCAAATGATTGGTAACTGTTCAGAAAAATTTGTAGGAGACTGATTTACCAAAGTCACCAACGAGCACAGACAAGCCATTTTTATCGGCTTTTTCATTCTGCAGTAAGCAAAGCTGAGAATGCTGGAGCCTTACTACAATTTTTTCGACACTTTTTGTGATGTAAATAATTTTGAGCAAATGAAACTGGACACAGATTCAGTGTATATAGCTCTTGCTGAGAAATGTTGTTTAATTGCGTTCGTTCGGAGAAAGAAGATGACTAGAAAAAGTTGGGAGAAAACGATCGCATAGATTCATTTACAACAGATTCAAAAACAAGTTTTTTCCTCCATTAAGTTGTAGATCCCACAGGAAACACAAAAAACGAGAGCTTGCACTGTTTAAGGAAGATTTTAGGTGTTAGGGGGAAGATGCTTTGTTTATATAGCAAGACTTAATAACGCTAGGACAACAAATCAGACAAGATGAAAATCAGCATCAAAGGATTGATTAAAAGGGTTCTAGAGGAATCCGGCAATGGACCTATGGCCAAACACTGGAAATTGCTCGACGGAGCATTCAACTTGACATCAACAAACAGAGGATTTAGACGTATTAATCATGTGGTTGCTACATAAGAGCAAAGAAATCACTTTTACCCAAAAATACAAGTTTAGGATGACGGAAAACACACAAAACTTTTGAACTTATCATGTAGCTGTATTTAATGCAGTATGATTAACTAACTACGAGCTTGCGGTTAAAGGATTATAGGAAGCAGTGCTTCATATACTTCATCTTTTACTTGTTTTTTCCGAAAAACTTGATTTTTTTTCTCGGAGTTTTGTTAGGTTCATTGTAGCTTTAGATGGTTTATTCATAGCTTCAAAAACATATAGAACCAAAAATCAAAACATCTAAGTTGTAAAAATTATATTGGAGACGGATATATCAGCAATTCGAGCGCATCAAAAAGTTCGGCTGCCAAAAAATGTTTTTGAAATTCACAATCAGAAGCTTGGTATGACCTATCTTAATACATTGGGAAACCTATTCCCTATCCTAATAAATTAATATTTTATTACTAATATATAGGCAAAACTGTACACCATCTTAATAAATGAAAAAATCGAGCGCAAAAATTTTTCTGAAATTCATCATCTAAAACCTCGTATCTTTATACATGGCAAAACCTATAACCTATCTTAATACATGGGAATTTTTTCCTTATCTTTATACATATCTTCAGGACCGGATGTTCTATTCTCTAATTTAATACATGGGGGTCTCCAACCAACCCTCTCCCCCACTTCTCTCACTTTTCACTACTGTGGCTTAAATTGAGCAAACTTTTCTTTTTTTGTGAACATTCAAGATAATACAGAAAAAACTTTTGATGCCCTTGCATATAGTTTTAGAAAATTGCAATTCTTTTTATTGAAAAACATAAAATCCGTGCTGCAAAAAATTGGATTACGTTTGTTTTAACTTGAAGTACAATGATTAGAGAAACAGAGAAAAAGTCAGTCAAAGCACAAACACAAAAGTTTTGCAATAAATCATGGAACAAAAACAGTTTAAAAATCTTTAGGGGGTGGAAACAAGGAATCCACGCATTTAATTAAAGCAACGAGTTTCTTTTTTGGAAAAAAAAACTCGAAATGAATTGATATTAAAAATGAGTTTAAATCAAAGCAATCGTTTTGGGTTCTGTGCTGATGAAAAACTTTTTTTAGAGATTTTTACAAAGTCCAGTTTTGGAAAAATTTTGTATTGTGGTATACTCAAGAAATTTTTCGCAGTACTTGTTTATATAAAAGTGGGACGGAGCATAGTCTTATTGAGTTTGAAGACAGGACGGACCATAGTCTAATACGGGACGGAACATAGTCTAATTGGAAATGCGTGATATCAACCTTAGTTTGAAGCTTAAATATTTCAAGGGAAGAACAATCGAAATTTAAAAAAAAACGTAAAGCAAAATCAGAGGTTGACTTAGATAAAGAATCAGATTATTAATAAACTTATCTAAAGAATCTGCTCGACTTTCTTTTCTCGAACATTTATGATGATAATCTCAATTACTTACAGTGACAATGGAATTTATCTTGATGAAGCAAAAAGTTTGAACGTTTTAAACTTGCAGTTAGTGAAGAGTAATGAAATTCTTGCTTCCCAAGGATAATGCCTAGAATGCCTGCCTGCATTTCCTAACAGAGCAAACTTTTGAACAAGACTTTTTCTCACTTCAAAGAAGGCTTTACATCGACAATTTTTACCTTTCAACATTGATGGTATCAAATATCAAAATTCAATTTAAATTCATATGGGCTGTACCAAATTCATACTTGTTGCCTCATAACCCAGAAACGATTTTAAAAATTGTTTATTTTAAAACTTTTAGTAGCTGAACCTAATCACCATTACAAAGTTTGGATAAACAGCTTGATCATTACAATAACCTGGAACCCATAGCGAAAACGCTTATCATTGCATCTAGTTGAAAGCAACGTATACAGGAGAACATCTGCCAGTCTTTCTTGATAAAGCTTAAAATTCTTCGGGCTGGAAAAACAATCGGTTCCTTTGTTTGCTTTAAAACAGATGCTTTTGAAAGTTTTTACTTGGAAAAATATATACCGTATAATTAATCAAGATTCTCAGATTAATTTCTTTTTATCTATTTCAGAGAATTTTTTTTAATTGCTGAAATTGGATGGTTCAGAAAGATGGTCCGCCCCTTCCCCCTTGGATGGTCCGCCCCTTCCCCCTTAGGGATTCGACCCCCTGCTGACCCAAAGGGTCCCCCCTTTGGTACTTTTAAGAAATCCAGTTTTGGCCAACCAACCGTAAAATTTTTCTAAAGGCGCCTTCGGCGCCACATATACTAAATTTAAGGGGGGAGCGCGCGCCGAAAAAACGCGATTTTTTCGTCAACATTTTCCAAAAAGTCCCTAAAAATGCCTTTTTTGGACTGTTTTTTCAAAATTTTGCCTGCGGCGCAGAAAATTTGGCCAAAATAGAGACTAAACAAGCTTAGGGAGAGCTCGAAAAATCAATTCGGTCCACCTAAAAAAAAAAGGTCGACAAAAATTTCGAAATTTGTTTGAAAATCCGCCCCCCCCCTCGAGAAAATCCTAGATCCGCCCCTGCTTGAAAGTAACTTCAAGTCTTAATACTGAGCAAATGATTTTCAATTTTTTCTGTTGTTTCCATAACTCACCACATCTGAAAAATTAAACGCTTCTCACGCTTAAAAAAACAAAAACTATCGCAAATCAATCAAAACAGCAGCCAGCAGTTTTTGGTATTAATGTGAAAATTTGCTTTCGGTAATCGGTGTTCCCACTAACCGCGCGGGGGGCTAACGTCTGGGTCTGGTGCTGCAACTTTGACATTTTTTTGTCATTTCTGACGTTTTTTAAAAGTTTTGTATGGCTGGAAGTGGCGGGTCTTTATGAAGTTTGTACTACTTTTCCACGCGAATTTTTCTCATTTGTACTCTTAACATAAAATATAGTACGCAAACGATCACAACTCAAATCAGGTAACGGCAAGCCCGCCTTACAAAGCCTCTAGCAAACTATTGATTTTTGGACAACCAAAAGCACTAGAATCATTAGAAAGTTTGGATCTACTTAACAATCTCCCCCCCCCCTTTCAAGAAAGGGGGGGATTCTTTAGTAGGTACAATAGGGAGGGGGGGGGGGAGATTGTTAAGTAGATCCGAAAATTTCTATTTTATTCGAAATCTATCAGTTACATATAGATTCGAAGCTTGGCCAATGTTCAAGATGTTTATTGAAAAATAACTGACGATTGATGCAGTGCTTTTTTGAGTAGCTTTTATATCTTTTTTTCTGTGCCAAATAAGCTATTTTTTGGTGGTATTTTATGCATAAAGATGTTCTTTCAGATTACATCCGTGGTTTTGTCCCCAAACTATTGGCCCATTATATTCATTAGATTCCGGAAATTAATTCTTCTCGGCTACCTTTTCTAATTGAATTTTGAGCAGCCAAACCCTCACTTATACCTCGCACAGAGGCTATAGAATTGCAAATATATTTAAATTGGATAGCCGAGCGAGGATTTTGATTAAAATATTTCAACCAATCGCTTCTATCCTTAATATATATCCTAATGTTCTCATCACTCATTCTATTTCAGTCGTTCACTAAAAAATTTAAGCATCAAATTGAAAAAGAAATCGTTAAAACCTTAAAACCTTGGTCGTCGTCCTTTTTGAAAAGCCGTGCAGAAAATGTCTGACAACTATTGGAACGATTCTCTGGTCGGTCTGTCTTTGAATCTGGTTCCCGACTTGAGAGGATATGGGGGAGAGGAGGCGGAGGGTCCCCTCTACGACGAGAGCTGGATGGAGACATTCTATGCACCCATGCCAAATTACGTACATAAATGCACAGGTGTTCTGCTGATGGTCATCATCTACCTGGGCCTGCATGGCAACGCAATCACCATTCAAATTTTCCTCTCGTAAGACTTTTTTGCTAATAATTGATTGAGTGAAGCTGGATATTGAAGCTAATCATGAAAACATAAATCTGTTGCGGCAATACGTGTTTATAAGCGGTTGTTTATAAAGTAAAATGGGTGTGCGTCCTTTTTAAGGTCTTCATTACAACAAAATGCACCTATTTTCACCTATTGCATATTACAAAGCAGGTGATTTAATTATGGTCTAAAAATTTGACCTATAAAATTCATTGCAATTACAAACTAGTTCAAAACATTCGCAATTTAAAGTATATCTTGGCCAATTAAACTAGATATTTTGGCTCATGTTAGGGAATTTTTAGGTAACATTGAAATTTTCTATCTTTTCTATCTTGTACTTTGTCTTCACGCGGAAAATCAGCATCGAGTTATGGGTGTGGAGTGAGGGTATCCTCTTTCTCAGGGATTTGACCCTCTGTCGACCCTCCCCCTTTGGTACTATTTGAATACCTCCATTTTTGTATGACAGATTCAAAACAATTCTGAAAGCGCCTGTGATGAAAAAATGTAATTTTGAGAGGGTGCGTCGATAAAACGCAATTTTTAGGTCACATTGTCAGAGAAAGCCTAAAAACAGTTTTTTTGGTCTGTTTTTTTTGACAATTCGCCTGCTGAACAGACATTTTTGTCACAATATGGTCTTTATACTGTTTTGGCGAGCTCAAAAAATCAATTTGGTCGATCTAGGATTTTTTTGATAAAACTACTCCAGAGAAAAGCTTAAATCTGCGGGAAACGAATGCCGATTGCAGCGAAAATTCGATCGCTGAATGTCGATCAGATCTGGCACATGTGATTTTTTTTTGGAAACAATATTTTTACCAGGCTCGTTTCTAGTCTTGTACCTAAAATTAGCACGAAAACCAAGCAAGCAGCTTTTCAGTAATAAACAAAATATGAAGTGATTGATATCTCTTCCGATTAGATAAACAAGACTGCTCGCATCAGGGCAAAACACTGAATGTTCCGACTGCTTATTAATTGGCTCCGAATCGTTTTTGGTAAATGAAACATTAACAACTACAAATTTTAAGCTGATAATAACAAAGTTATAAAAGTTGAGTCGTTTATGGAATTATCAAGACCAATAAGCTTGCCTCAATTCATCTTGGAAAGATTATAAGTGTTTGCCACACATCAAAAATTCGCTTCTTCAAACAAACTATCAAGGTATTAGATCAGCAAAAAAGCCACACTTCAATTGCAAGCATACTCGGTCGGCAATCACAAGGTTTCCGGATTGATGTCCATTTCAACGCAGTCAACTTTTCTAACAAATATTCTGAAAAAAAAAACACCCCGGGCATATACATTTCTTTTCTTCTTCGAAAGTTGGAACAACAATAAAAACTCAATAACTGTCTATATAAGCCTCTGTTTGATGTAATATATCTCATGCAACTCAACTTCGTGCTGAAAATGGGTTGCTTCAGAAAAGTGGTTGTCAGTGATATACAAAAACTATGTTAGCCAAAACAAAAAAAATTGAGCTTTTCAGACAATCTAAATTTGTTTTTTTTTAACATCTCATCATTAGTTTGCTTGTGGTTTTGCTCTTAAAATTGTTGCAAGATCTATTTTGCTTGGGAATCAGCGTTTTACAGTAAAGTTATTCTTCTGTTGAGTTTATTACATGCCCGCCGGGTTACACAGCCATTTGAAAACTTTGGACTTCCTGCCAGGAACTTAAAGAGTCGATGGCAATCCTGAAAACCATTAACACCTGCTTCCACCAAATTTAGGAAATCAGATTTTTTTACACAATAGTTCAATATTTTTTTAGTCGCAGCAAAGTCATTTTTAGGCTAACGAACACATTTTCTAAAATTTTGGCGCATGACCTAGTCCAATTAAAATTTTTTCTTACAAGAGAACTAAAACTCAAAATGAATGTTTTCCGCAGAGCTGTAATTATTCTCTTGTTTTTGAAAGATAAGATAAACCTGAATGTGACATAAAAGCAGTTTAAAACTTTTCAAACTCTTTTTTTTTAGGTATATATAAGCCATCTAGGCACATAGAAAAAATATGTTTTGGTATCATAATTTGAAAGTTTTTAACTTTACTTTCACTGATACAAAGGCAGTTTTTCTGCAAGATTCTGCCAAATAACTATGGGTTTTCCTCTATGAGAATATCTTATGTAATTTTTAAAGTTCAAGCAAAAAACATGGAAACCAAAAACTGGACTCTTATACTGCTCCAGGAAGTTCAGGGAAATCCATGCAAGACTTGGACATGGTTTTTCCCCTTTGTCCAGGGATTGCCAGTGGGATGGTCTCCTATCGACAGGTAACTCGGGTGCATAATTAATGCATTTCAAATACGTTCAATAATGTTTGGGTTGACCAGTGGGTTTTTTTTCTAATATCAAAATAATGAAAAAAAAATCAGGCAAACCAGATTTTGGGCTAGTTTAAACGGGGTCGTTAACTTTAAAGCTATATAGTCAATTTGACTTTGCTGCTAAATGTCAAAAAATTAAGTCTTTTAAAATCAAGCTTACGTTAATTTTTCGTTTTGAAATTTTATAATAGTTTCAACTGAATTGGATTTTCATCTTATACTATTTGGCAGTTTATAGAAATTTCGTAAATTATAGGAATCTGAAATCCAAAAACGTTTCAAAATTTTTTGAAAAATTGATTTATACGAACAAAAAAATTGTTCTATCTGCTTCAAAAATAAACAGAGTTTGAGCGACGGATAGCGCCTTTTTATATCAAATTGGACAACTCATTTACCTAAATTACGTATTTTCATAACAAAAACGTTAACCTATACATGATAATGAAAATTTAAATAAGTGTCCGTGAGAAGAAAAACGTACACAAAAAAAATGGTTAGCTTGGATGCAAAATTGATTTTAAAAGAAAATTGAAAAATGTAAAGCACTGTCAAATCACGTCAAATGATTTACCTATTGATCCAATGTTTATCGAAAAAATTATTATCATAAATTTGTTCTGAAATTCAAAGATCCTCTGAGTCATATATTCTTTTTTTGAAATCCGAAATTTGAGAGTTTTCAATGAAACAACCAATGTTTTTCTGTTTCCTCGCGTTCATTGACCCTTTTCTAACTGTATGTTGGCTACATTGTAATTCACATGAAAGCAAATAACCAAACAAATCAAGTTTCAGGACCAAGTCACTGCGCACCCCTCAGAATCTGTTCCTGGTGAACTTGGCTGTTGTTGACCTGATCATGGTGATGTCATGTCAACCTGTCAAGTGCATCGCCAGCTTCCTCCAATACTATCCCCTCAATAGTGAGTTGTTTTTATCAGAAGGCTACAGTGAAGCAAAAACAAATTTAGTTTGTCAAAAATTGTAGTCGCAAAAAAAACAGATCTCTTCGTTTTGATAATTTTTGTCAAGTTGTTGTCTGTATCTTTTTTGGTCCACGAATCTGACGGAAATTTATTAACCTAAAAATGTTCATATTGAAAAATATATATATAAATTGTTTTGCAAAATTTAGTGTTCTGGAGAATGCACGGAATGTTTGAGCCTTGGGTGATTTTTCTAACGCGTAAGTGGCGGTTTAATTTGGTTTAAAACCCGTGACGAAAAATCCAATTAAGCTAAAATGCACCTTTTTTTGACCAATAAAGATGATGCTCAAGGTCACAACTATTGCCAATTCTTTTTGTGATTGGTTTTAATTTTAATTTTTAAGGAAACTGTCAGAAAAATGAAAAAGGAGATTGATGAATAATAAGATGTCAATCTGGAAATAAATCATCTGAACAACTGTCGTTTCTTAACCCCTTTTGGGGCGTCAAACTGAGTAGAGCATTACTTGTTAGAAAACTTCTTCACTGTAAGCTACATGCTATCCCTCATCAATTACAAAACGACATGAATTCATTTATTTGATACGAGCATCACCCCTTTGCTAATTCATTCTGATTTAAACTCTGAATAAGAGGAGACTAAATTGGTTCAAATGTCATATTTGTTCAGTCAAAATACTCGAACACATCTTGAACGCTATCCAAATTAGTTCAAAACCTAGCGCTACACTTTGACGTCTGGAAATAAGTGGGGTCAAATTAGGCGACCATGCACCAAAATTTATGATTTTTTTTAAACTAGGACGAGCCTTAAGTCAATTACGTTTTTTACCAGCAGGTTTATAATCTATGTTTTTCCTATTTCTTATCACTCAATGAATTTTTCTTTTAGAATGTATTTCCCACTGATATTATTTTTCACGGCTACTGGGTATTTTTACTTAAATCGTCCAAAACAGCTTAAAAGCGAATTTTATTTTAATTGCTTACGGGTTGCTCGAACTACGCGCTCCTGTTGTATTTAATTCCAACCAATCAGATTTGAGCATTTGGTTTTCTGCTTTCGTATTTTAATAATTACAATTTTGGACTGAACAAGTAAAAAGAACCCGACTGGAAACACTATGAACTAACTAGCTTCAAATGAGGCGCTATCTTTGATTTCGGAGTTCATGAGGCCATTCTTGCAGGGCCCCAAACAATTCTGCCGCTACATAGAACAAATTCTGCTGCTCTATAAAAAAAAGTTTTTTCTTTTCTGCCATATGGGAAGCTTTGAGTTATGATTTACAAAAACTCAGCATTCATATGATGATTTTATAGTGATTTCTCAGAAAAATGGGTTAATTTTACCGTGTGATTGAAATTCTGCTCAATCTACTGCTCTAGAAATTATTTTGCTCTTTAAGCCGACTTCTGTCAATTCTGCTAAACTCTGCTGCCAGCAGAAACTTTTGGGACCTGATTTTTTCTCTGTTTTGTTTCAGATAAACATAACATAAAACAAGCCAGTCTCATCATACGGTATATGGATTTCGATTACAGTTTCAGTTCAAAAAATTTGTTTAGCTTGCTATGTGTTTGGAACCTTGGCTACCTTTGGTGGTCTGTGTTCTATCAACTCTATGGCAGCTATTGCGTATGACAGATACATAATGATCTGCTCCTCGCCCGAGGACATGACCACTCCATCCACGAAAAGGTCTCTCTCAATCATCGGGGTTGTGTGGGCCTACAATCTCATATTCGCCATTCTTCCTAATGTGGGAGTGGGCGGGTTCATCCTAAATGGTAAAAGCAATTAATTATATCCATTGATCAAACATCAAAACTGATATCATTCACATTCAAGCGTAAAATTCCTGAAGATTGCACTTCAAATTTTAAACTAGAAAAAATTGAGCGCTTATGCTGAGTTTAACAAATGTTTCGAGAAAAATCTAAGAACATTTATGTTTTGTTTATGCGGCAAGGACTTCTTTTGCCATTGTTTTTCAAAACCTTTTTTTCATTATTTAGGCTGCGCCTTAGAATGCTCCGAAATTTCAATTTTCTGGTGAATGAATAACATTGGAGAAATCGAGATTCTATGATAACTTTTTTCTTGCGGCTGATTTATTACTTAAATTGAAATTTTTTTTAACATGGCATATCCTAAAGTGAAAGTGGAGTTTGTTTTTATGCAGGTTCCAGTATTAATCAAGCAACCGCACAACTTCAAGGACAGTTTTTGGTCGAGTTTTTATTACTAGCTATGATTGTTAGATTATAATAATACAGTTTTTAAAATTACAAATTTCAATACGATCATCGCTTTCCATTCGTTTTTTGAAGCCTCAATAAACTCGCACGGAATTGCATTTGCTTGCCTTTTGACACTTTTCACAATTCTCGCTGAAATTGATTTAGATAGTCTTTTCAGGTTTTTCAAAAAAGTTCTAGTTTTTAAAAGGTTGTAGACCGTGTAAAAACTCACTAAAATCAATTTTACCTTATTATCGTGAATTTAAAATTTGAAGTTTGGTGGCCAATTTTCAGCGTCGTTAACGTTTTGACATGTTTTAAATTGCAGATATCTGTTTTTTCTACTTGGATATGAAAAATCTGAATATCAGTTTAACCCTGTATCATATAATAGATTTTTGTTTTACTAATATAATACACAATAACCAATACTCAGACAAATCAAAAAATCTTTTACGGCCTAATTTTATTCGATAATTTTTCTTCTGCCTCTAGATTTGCTTTTTTCTCTGCCTCGGATATACAGCAAAAATTTTTTGAACTTTAATTTGAAGTTTCAATTTTTTGAAAGTTCAGTTTTTCATTCAAAATATTAAGAACAATACAAAATATTTTAAAAAATTAATAATACAATTTGGAGTAGCATTTGAAAAAAATATGTTTTGCCCTTACGCAAAGTTAAATAGAGAGAAAAACAGGTGAAGCCTAGAAGGAATCTGATCGGTTGCAACAATGAAATTTGGAGAAGAAATTTGTACTATTTTGTGATATACTTTTTCGACTGATGCACCCTAAATTTTTTTTTCGGTGCCAATAATTACTTCGCCGATAAAAAGCAATTTTCTGGTCTACATTTTCTAAAAGTTCCTAAAAATGCCTTTTTTAACTTAATTTCTAACAACATTTTCCTGCGGCGCAAAAATATTGGCAAAAACAGCGTTTTTTAAGTACTTTGGGGGAGCTCGGAAAGTCAATTCAATCAACCTTAAACAAAGTCGACGAAAATTTAAAAAACATTTTAGAAACCCACCCTCCCCTCGAGAAAACCCTAGATCCACCCCTTGACAAAACTTAAAAAAGTAGAAAAAACTTCTATTCCAAATCAAATTAATTCATTTTTTTTTCGGCAAAAATTACATTATATTTTTGAAACTTGATATTTTATTCATGTGGTTGAAAGCTGAAATACTTACAATATTTCAGTTTCCGAACCTTTCCCACTTGTATCGGGCCACTGATATAAACACTTACAGACCTACTTACTACTTTTGGTGCGCTTATTTGAGTCCCAAGCAGGGATTCTGTTTATATTGGTTTGCAAAATTTTCTCAGTTGAAAGTTTCACATATTTTATTGCGCACAAATACTCAAATACTTGATGCTTGGCCAAACTGAAAAAAACTCTATCAAAAAGTATTCTGTGCTCATAAGTGTTTGCAAAGTGGACGTAATGTTTTTTATTAGGTAAGTGAACACTTTTGCTTTCAGTTACTTTTTTGAGCAAGAATTTTTTTTTAGCGTTCACTGTTTCACGGCAGTAATTTAGCAAAACTGACTGAAATAACTGAGTACCTAATTGTTTTTAGAATGTTTTCACAGGTAAATATACTCTTGTTTTTCCGATTTTTGAAGAAAATTATGGCAATTTGTGCTCGGGGTAGTTGTTTTCCTCGAGACAAAATTCGATTTATTGACCAGCCATTTTTGATGAAACTGTTTCCAAATCATCCAAAACGTATAGTTGTCCTGAGCTTATAATCGTAAATAATCCACCTCTGATTATTTATCGCAAAGTTATTGGGGTTTTAGGGAATGCCAATTTCGCCGATTTGGAACAATTAAAGCCCAATGTATTTTGCGATACTAACGCGTAAACGGAGATTTAATCAAATTGGACCATGGCATGTTATTTGGACTATTTTGATAGGCTAAATTTGTAATTTTTGCTAATTACATAGCGTGTAAAAGGATTAATTTCAAAAAAACGCTGAAAAAAAACTTTTTTTGTTCCAGTAAATCGCTAAGCCCGGACTTATTTTTCACAGGTGAAGGTCTCTTTAATGAATATATCATAGTCTTTGAGATGCCCTACGTAGTTTCAGAAAGAGGTGGTACCCAATTTTGCACAAAAAAAAACACTTGACTTCTTTGATGGGAAAATCTGCTAAGCAGATCATTGTACACATAAGGTTTCATTTTTGGTAGAACTTCCTCCCTTTACTTTCCTTTTTCTTAAAAGCATCAAATTTTTTCTAAATGTAGGAAGTCGCACGAGCTGCACTTTTGATTTCATCTCCCGAACGTGGTCTAATCGAATCAACCTGCTCGTCATGTACATTGCTGGATTTCTTTTTCCCCTCGCCATTTCCATCTTCTGCTACCTACGCATTTATCTCAAAGTCAAGAACGGTGGATCAGTCTGCAAAAAAGACGCGAAGGTAAAAAAAAATTGGAGTTTCAACAATGCAATATTCGTTTTTAAAAACTGCTATGCGTTTTATCCGCGTTTGAAACAATAGAACAATTTAGTTTTTTTAGGGGCACAACAAGGGAAAGGAAATTCTAGTAGCAAAGGCATCTATGCTCTGCATCGGGGTTTTCATCATCACCTGGCTGCCCTACGCAGTATTGGGAGTGGCGGGACAATTCGTCGAGCCACAGTTTTTCAACCCTTACATGACTACTTGGCCAGCCCTGATTGCAAAGACCAACTGCATCTACAACCCCATCATATACGCATTCGCTCATCCCAGCTTCAAGTAACTATACATTACGCTAAATGCTCAATGAGTGTAAAAAAGTAACCATACAAATCCATTGGTTGTCTGATATTTTTGGGCAAAACATTGGTTGCATCTCATATTGAAAGCAGGGGCGGATTTAGAGGGGGAGGCGGACACCCCTTTCCTCAGGGACTCGACCCCTTCGCCAACCCCTCACCACCTAATTTCGGCGGACCAACCGTGAGATTTTGGCGCCAATATAACTAATTTAGAGGGTAAACACGCGAAAAAAAAACGCAATTCTTTTGGTCAAACCTCCCAAAAAGTGCCTAAAAACGGCGCCAACATTGGTAATTCAGAAGTGAATCGCGTGTCAACAAAAAACAAACTTTTTTTCGGTCAAAATTTTGTAAACGGCATTTTTGACCAGTTTTTTTTTTAAATTTGTCTGCGCTGCACGAAATTTTGTCAAAATAGGGTTTTTTCAATGTTCTGGAAACACTCGGGCAGGGGATCAATTTGTCGAAAAAATAAAAAATATCAACTAAAACTTTTGAAATTTTTTTTGAAAATCCTAAAAAAGAAAAAAGATCAATCAAATTTTTGAAACTTTTTTTGAATATCCGCGCGCCGCCCATGTTGCTCAGTATTACAGTGCCTTGTTTTTTTCAATCTTATCTTTTTTTTCGGTTATTTCGATTTGGAATGCGAAACATATTTGTTGTTGAATTAGTAAACAGAAAACTCCTAAATTGTGTAATTTTGTTTCAGGAAAGAGTTGAAGCGGCGGTTGACTGGTCCATGAATGCAATTACCAACTAACATCATGAAGTATTCAAACAACATCAAAAATTCAAATATCGAAAATTGTGGGCGAATTATTTTTTCATCGAATTGGAAAATTATTGTTGGCTCGAGAACGCTTTTCTAACATAATTTTAACTTAATTTGACCTTTTAGTCGTTCAGTAGTTGGTAGCAAGCTTGTCGGTATTCAGGGTGGCATCATGTTCAAGTATTTTCAGTTGTAAATTGGATTTTAATAATTAAGAGAAACAAATTAAATAAAAGCCCTGCTAAATAAGTGAGATTTTTCTGTAAATTTTGAATCAAAAAATCAAAATATTAGAAAATACGAGTATTTTGAAAAAGAAAACTCTTCAGAAGTTTATTGGAACCTACCTTTTATTCACGAATCCTTTTTTACTTTGAAAAAACCGCATTCGCTATTCAGCATCCAAATATTGAATGCCACAAAGACATCCAATGAAATTCTTTCATCTGGCTTCGGGCTCCAATAAAATCGGAATTTTTTTGAAGACTCAATACTGCTATGCTTTTCAGACGGATAAATGATAAAGGCACTCTTAACGAATAACAGCAGTAGCTGTGATGTGATAGTTAATCAAAATTTTGATGACTGACTGGTTCTTGAAACTTCAGTGAGTGCCTCTTCTTATATCGAAAAAAAAAACGCCGTTCTTTTAAAGAAAAAAGCCAAAAACTGTTTACTTTTTTCGGAAAGTTGCCAAGTTTTTCAACTCAAAAATAAAAAACTCTGGATGAAACTTGAATCAACCGAACCAAACCACTATGGGTGGGAAAAAGTTCAAGCCAATGTCAAAATTTCTGATATCAAAAAGACATTTAAAAAAATGTTCAATTTCGAGAAAAAAAGCGGCTAAATAGTTTTTGTTTACAGACT